GTATCTTGTTAGCCAAAGCATCTCCTAAGTCCAGTGGAAAGAGCACTCTGCCCTTAGTTAGGAAGAAGTCCAGGGTCACATGATATAGTAAAGGGAGAAAATTGGTGAAACCTTGGAATCTGCTACAGATGAGAAAAGCAGGAGCCACATGCCTGTGTCCTGGCCTGTGATAGAAAGCATTGACAGTCAATGGAGGTAAAGCAGGAGGTGGCTTTCTTTAGAAATGAAATCACTGTGGAATGGGGTATTCGGGTTTCGACTCTGGCTCCAAACAGTCAGTGGGGGGTCAGTAGCCTCTGTAGGCTTTGGGGCTTGTACGGGTTTGGGATCCCAGTCTTCTGCCCTTTGTCTTAGCTTCCATCCCAGCCCTTCTTTCTCTTTGGGGCTGTCTTGTGGCATTTCTGCTCTTTCTCAGTGCTTGGATTGTTTGTTTGTTTGCTGTTTTTTCTTCTTTTATAGACGCTAAGAGATGCAGGTCAGATCACACTCCAACTTGGCATTTTTCCCAGCAGGGTGGAAACATTTGAAATGCTGTTTTCTGCTGTCCCTGCAGCTGCTGCCACACTAGTTTTATAGACTAAGTGAACTTAACCTGTATTCTGAGTCAGTGCTATTGTGCTTTCTCTTGCCCCCTGTGGCGGCTCATGTGAAAAGAGCAATTTTGGAATTTTCTCCAAATAAAATAATTATTCACATAAGATCCTATTCCTTCCAGGGCTGTCTTAGCACAGTCTAACCTGGTATGTCCAGAGCTTATGTGTTCTTGTTATTCATATCCTTTCTTTATCCTGTTTCTAACTGAGACCAAGATTAGAAAATGTTAGGATATCACTATTGTTATTATAAGCGTTAGTACTTTACTACTAAAAATAACTCTTAATGTGACTAATTGTTATGAATTTATTTGCTCTAGTAAAAATCTCTCAATCAACAGATTTCTCTTTCTGTATTAAAGTTTTCACTCAACAAATTATTGAGCATTCACGGCGTACTGAGCCTGAAGTAATCTCTAGGAAGAAAATGGTGAACATAAAACCAGATACCCTTTAAAAACATATAAATATGGTTGTGGTTACATGCCATAAAAATGATTTGTGGTGCTATGAAACCTATTGGACAGATATATCTGGTCTGAGGATGTAGCCTCTGCTCAGAGCATGTGAGTGACCCTTAGCTAGGACTGGAGAGCTGAGGTGGAGGCTGGCACTAGGTGTAGCATTCTAGGCAGAGAGAACAGCTGGTAAAATGGGCCTCAATTGAGGGACAAGTTCTTCCATGGAGCGGATCATAGGAGTAAGGGGTGGGCAGGGCTGAAGAGGCAGTCACTGGTGAACCTTGCTGACTCTTTTTGTGTCGACTCATTGGCACAGGAGACAACTTCCTGAACAGAACACCAACAGCACAGGTTCTAAGATCAACAAGTAATAAATGGGACCTCATGAAACTGAAAAGCTTCTGTAAAGCAAAGGACACTGTTGTCAGAACAAAACGAAAGCCTATAGACTGGGAAAGGATCTTCATGAACCCTATATCTGACAGAGGTCTAATATCCAGAATATATAAAGAACTCAAGAAGTTAAAAAGCAACAAATCAAGTAATCCAATTAAAAAATGGGATACAGAACTAAACAGAGAATTCTCTGTAGAAGAATATAGAATGGCAGAGAAAAATTTAAAGAAATGCTCAACGTCTTTAGTCATCAGGGAGATGCAAATCAAAACAAACCCTGAGATTTCACCTTACACCTATCAGGTGGCTAAGATCAAAAACTCAAGTGACAACACATGCTGGAGAGGATGTGGAGAAAGGGGAACCCTCCTCCACTGCTGGTGGGAATGTAAAGTTGTACAGCCACTTTGGAAATCAATCTGGTGCTTTCTCAGACAATTAGGAATAGCATTCCTCAAGATCCAGCTATAGCACTCCTAGGCACATATCCAAAATATGCTCAAGCACACAACAAGGACATTTGTTCAACCATGTTTGCAGTAGCTTTATTCATAATAGCCAGAACCTGGAAACAACCCAGATGTCCCTCATTTGAGGAATGGATACAGAAATGGTGGTACATTTACACAATGGAATACTACTCAGCAATTAAAAACAAGGAAATCATGAAATTTGCAGGCAAATGGTGGGATCTAGAAATGATCATTCAGAAGCAGAAACACACACACAGTATATACTCATTTATAAGAATTTGTTTTCTTGTGTTTTTTTTTTCCCCCTTTAAATAATTTTTATTAGCCAGGCAGTGGTGGCTTACACCTTTAATTCCAGCAATCGGGAGTCAGAGGCCGATGAATTTCTGAGTTTGATGCCAAGTCACTTTCTGGTCTACAGAGTGAATTCCAGGACAGTTAGAGCTATACAGAGAAACCTTGAAAAATCAAAATAGATAGATATATAGATTTCATTAGCCAGGAATGATGGTACATGCCTTTAACCCCTAAACTAAAGAGGCAGAGGCAGGTGAATCTCCGTGAGTTTGAGGTCAGCCTGGTCTGCATAGTGGGTTCTAGGACATTCAGAGCTCTACATAGTGAGACCCTTCTCATAAAAGAAAAGATGGGGGAGAGATAGCAGAAAAAAACAAAACAAACAAACAAACAAAAAAGAAAGAGCAGAAATGCCACAAGACAGCCCCAAAGAGAAAGAAGGGCTGGGATGGAAGCTAAGACAAAGGGCAGAAGACTGGGATCCCAAACCCGTACAAGCCCCAAAGCCTACAGAGGCTACTGACCCCCCACTGACTGTTTGGAGCCAGAGTCGAAACCCGAATACCCCATTCCACAGTGATTTCATTTCTAAAGAAAGCCACCTCCTGCTTTACCTCCATTGACTGTCAATGCTTTCTATCACAGGCCAGGACACAGGCATGTGGCTCCTGCTTTTCTCATCTGTAGCAGATTCCAAGGTTTCACCAATTTTCTCCCTTTACTATATCATGTGACCCTGGACTTCTTCCTAACTAAGGGCAGAGTGCTCTTTCCACTGGACTTAGGAGATGCTTTGGCTAACAAGATACTAACAAATGTGCCATTTGGAGCAGGCTTTCATTCCTTGAGATTTTTGGAGATGGCAAAGTTGTGCATATCAAGGGAAATATACAGCCAGGAATGAATTGTGCTAGTCTGTGGTTTCAAATCTCTGTAATATACATCCAGAAGGGACTGTGCTGTTTGTTTTGTTAGTTTGCTGTACCTCTGGGTGCCTTTTTTTTTTTTTTTTTTTTTTTTTTTTTTTAAAAACAAGGAATTTTTTTGCAGACTGTCATTTGTTTTTAAACATCTCACTATGTAGCTCAGGGTGTCCTCATACTCACTGAGTAGCTAGGCTAGCCTCAAACTCAAAATTCTTTGGTTTTGAGTGTTGGGATTGTAGGTGTTTCTGCCATGCCTGTTTTTCATTTGTGTTCCTGAATCAAACTCAGTGCCAGTATGCAGAGAAAGCAGAGGCAAAGTGCAAGTGCGAGGATCATCTACCTATCTTCCTTCCTTGCTTCCTTCCTTGCTTCCTTCCTTCCTGCCTTCCTTTCTTTCCTCTTCCTCCTCTTACTTCTTCTTGTTCTTTTTTACAGAAAAGTTCCCATCTCATGCTTCTCAATGCCAGGATTAGAGGTGTGTGCCCACCATTCCCAGTTTTAGAAGCATCATTTTTGCTTCAAAAATTTTCAGTTTCCAAAAATCTCCTTCTATGAAATGTTCAGTCCTGCAGCCATAGATGCTCACTTTTTTGTTTGATGTTTTGGTACATGTCTGTAATCTCAGCACTTAGGAGGCTCAGGCAAGAGGATCAAGAGCTCAAGGCCAGCCTGGGCTACATAGTGAGTTCTAGGCTAGCTGGGTTACATGGTGATAACCTATATATCTCTATCTCTATATCATATTTATATAGTTTTAAAATAATTTTCTTATTCTTAGAACCTAAAAAAAGTACTTTTGTATTCCTAGAAGCTGCTCTGGTGGTCCGCTGTGTAATAGTTGCCTGGTGAATCCAGTTTCTGTAAATGATTGAATGAACGAGTATAACATTCTATTTGTAGTACATAATATTGCATAGTTGCTTGTAAACTATCCCTGAGTACTTTATTGCATGCACATAACCCTTCCATTCACAAAATTTGTTTCCCTAGCTAACAGATCTGTTCCTCAGAGATAAGTGGGCGTAGTTTTTCCGTTTCTCTTAGCTCTGCTGTCTACTCCCTTGGCTTGCTGTGTCTTGCTGCCTTCATGGCTTCCTTTTTTTTTTTTTTCTTTTTGACAGGGTTTCTCTGCATAGTAATGGAACTCTTTCCATAGACCAGCCTAGCCTCATACTCAGATATCTGCTTGCCTCTGCCTCTGCTAAAGGTGTGCACTCCTATGCTTGGCACCTTTTTTTTTCTTGAATAATTGTTATGAACCACATATTTTATGTCCCAAACTGTAGCATACAGGCTTTGGAAACCCCTCCCCCCCAAAAAAAAAAAAAAAGATATATAGTTCCTGTGGTCAGGGAAAAAAAATGAAAAAGAGCCTGGTTCTAAAAAATGAGGATGATGAGCTACAAAGCTTACTAGCATTCTGAGATATCTTGGATGCTGTGGGATTGGCAAGGGAGGGGCAAGAAGAGTGTTAGGGAAAAAGACGATAATGTCTCAGCGTCTTGATAGTTGGTTGAGGAGTTATTCACCATTTACCTACTGCGTATAGCAACAAAGCGTATTAACCAAGTTCACAGAAGATACAAAGTAGACTTGATTATCATGTTCTTGATCTTGCAATGTTGGTCCTTTGATCACCTTGCCTTATCATCTTATAGATTCTGTCATAACAGTAAGGAGTCAGTATGAGTAGCGTGTGGGAGTCAGGAGAGCGAGTTGGGTTTAAGAGATAAACTGGACATGGTACTCTGATCTTCAGGAAGTGCTCAGGCCTGTTGGTATGTTAGCTGTTCTACCCCAGTATCCCACCAAGGTTCCTGTACCCCACACAACTCTTCTCTTCTTGACTTTCAGGTCAGGCTGTTCCTGCAGGATCCCATGTACGACTGAATCTACAGACTGGAGCAAGAGAGGTGAAACTCCAACAAGAAGACAAGTTCCAAAATAATCTGAAAGGATTTAAAAAAGGCAGAAGGTACTATATTGATCCCAGGGTCGGGAAGCTAAGTGATGACACTGATTTGGAAATAATAGCAAAGCCACCCAAATTCATGGGTGTGAATTGTTAGCTTGCTTGTTTTTTTCCAAGACAGAGCTTCTCTGTGTAGCCCTGGCTGTCCTGGAACTTGCTCTGTAGACCGGGCTAGCCTTGAACTCAGAGATCTGCCTTTGTCTGGGAATACAGTGTGCTAGGAATAAAGGCGTGCCCACCATGTCCAGCTAAGTGTGTTATACTTTTTATTTGAAATTCAGTAGAATTTGTGATAAAATTGTCAGGGTTTTCTGGAAGTTTGCTTCCACAATCTTTGGAAGGAAATACCTTGCAAAGATAGTAGACTCTTTTTGAAAGGCAGTGGAGGAGGGTTTAACCTCCCTTCAAGGTGAAGCTGCCCCTCAGTACGTGGAGAGCGCGCATTTGAATCCCGACAGTGATGTGCTGGCTACAGGTGAGTAGCCTGTTCATCAAAACAAACCCGTTGGCCTTCTGCTTTGCACTGATGCTTCCTTGGTGAGCAGTAAAATTGCCTTTGAAGGTCTTTAATTCAGACTGACTTTTCCTCTCTGTTAAAATAGGCTTTCTTGTAGTATGTGAGTAGAACTTAACACATTTCCCAGTGGGTATAGGTTTCCTAACTTTTTAATAACCACTTTGAGAGATTTGGTTTTACAGAGTTAACAGTTTCTATTTTCCCTTTTAATTGCCTTGAATTAACAAGTTTTCCTTGCTTGGTATTTTCTGAATGAGAGGTAAGGAAATTTAGGCACGGTTGGCAAGGATTTCTAGACCCCTTTCCTTGACATTCCTGGCATACAGGTCATTTATGGCCCACACACTTGTTTAGTCAAGTTGTACTCGCCTCACAGAGTAGCATGTCAGATGTGGGCAGTGAGAAGATTTTACAGTTAGAAGATTCTAATTTACCTTAAGATGGAGGCAGCTGTCGTCCTCCCAGACTGGGGAAGCTCTTTCCTCCTCTCCATCTCTGTATATAGGCCGGACTTGAAGAGGACCAAATCTTACAGTTATTCCTGTTCCACAGTCATAGAAGAATGATCAAATATCATTGTATAGCCCTGCTTACTGTTTCCCACCTCCAGAAAGCATGCGTGCACACATACTTCACGCCTACTTCATTGTATCAAGGTACTTAAAACTCTTCTCTCACATCCAGTCCAATTCTTATTTTTTAATGAAAAAGCCAGGGTCCTTGTCTTAAGAATATTGACCTAGGAACTTGATGAATTCAGAGCTGTTGGTGTATTGTTTTATATGCCATCTCCCCCGCCCCTGAGTGCAGGTCATCAGTAGAGGCACTTACTAGGTTGTCTTTGCTCCTTTTACAGCAAAAGTCTTCCTTGTGATGTGTAGAGACACCATAAGAAGAAATACCTGTTCCTACTTTTCCTCTTTGCTTTTCTCCTTTGGACTATTTCTGAGAGCTTTGCCCTAGGATGGCCTTCAGGATGTGCTGGACATTTCCTCTTCTCTCTCAGCTGTTACAGCTTCTCTGGGCAGAGCCCCCACCCTACCTCCTGTATCTTCCTGGCTATTCCACAGTGGCCAGGTGCCAGCATCCTGGGATCAGCACATTATTCTGCTTATCTGACTAGTGTGCTTTGGAAGGCATGTACTTTCCAGCAGCTTGCTCAGATGAGCTGGGAAACTGCTGTGCAGAAGAGAGATTGGGGGTGCCAAGCTGCTCCACCATGATGCCTGTTGGGTTCTAGGCCTCGGTAAGATTTTCCCAGAGGGTACTCTTGGCTTTGCCTGACTTCAGACATATTTTTAGGCATAAAAAACATAAAAGTTTTATTCTATATCCTGTCAACATCTTCATAGAACAAACATCTCTTTGCCCTGGAATCTTCCTTGAAGCTTCTTTCTATGTTAGAGGAGTGAAGGACAAACTTTGCTCCCTCTGAATTGTACCATCTTGGGTCGGGCATTTGCCATGCTGCAGTCTGGTAAAATAGTGAAGAGAAAAGCCAAAGACAAACTGTTTACCTGCTGTATTAATTCATTTTACAAAGGCTATTGAAAGCCTGTGGGACAGGTGTTGGGGAGGGAAATCGTAAGACAGATGAAGTGGTAGCCTCCGTAAGGTGAGTGGAGGCCTTGTGGAGATTGACAGGCATAAAACCAAGAAAATAAACATATGAGTAAGATCATTACAAATTATAGTAACTTCTAGGGAAGAAATGAGCCAAGGTAATGAGTCTCTGCAGAAGACCAGGCTAGATAGGATGATTTGGGAAGGAAGGCCTCAACATATTTTAATTAAAAGCTAAAGAAAGAGAATGTAAATCCTATAAAGAATTAGGTTTGTGAGTTTAGGGATTATAGCACTTGAGGAGGCAGATGGAACAAAAAGAGCCCCAGGTTTGTCAGGTTTGAGAAATAGGGAAGTGATCCAGATGGTTAGAGAGGAAGAGAAGGTAGGAGACATAAGAGATGAGAAGAGGAGGTCGATGTGTGTCGGGTGGCACACAGCGTGTAGAGTATTAAGGGAGCATTCTGAGTGTTCTCCACTCACCTTTCATTAGAGTAGGAAGGACTAGAGCACTTTAGGCAAGAGAGTTACTTAGTATAGCTTAACAAATAACTGTAGTGTCTGGATAAGAGACTGAAAATAAGCAAAGAAGCAGAAACCAGCAGCATGCCATTCAGTAGATCAGACACAATACAGTGGTGACTAAGTCCAGGGCATCACGGTGGAGAGTGGTGAATGCAGAGAGTTAATTTGAAAGGGCAGCTAAGAGGACTTGCTGAAGAATTGGATGCAGAGGTTAAAGAAAGAGCAGAAGATTTGGAATAAGGCCTCATTTTGGGATGGAGCCTCTGGGTGCTTAGAGGTGTTATTTTTTGAAATAGAAAAGTTGCAGCTGGGCCAGGTTTTTAGAGACAAGTATCATGAGTGATGCTTTTTATTAGATAAGTGTGAGGTATGTATTAAGCATCCGAGACTTGCTTGGATGGGCTGGCTTGCTAGCTCAGAGGGTAAAGGGACTTTCTGTCTTATATGATAACTTGAGTTTTATCCCTGGGACCAGCAAGGTGGAAGGAGAGGACCAGAACCAACCCCTGCAAATTGTCCTCTTAACTGCTGCATATATGCCGTGTACCAAGCCAGTATCATAAGGGAATACATAGAGGTTGTTGTTTTTGAAAAAAAAAAAAAAAAAAAAAATCTGAGACCAGAGGAGATTACATCAGTTAATATACTATCCAGTTTCCCCTTTTCTGTGAGCATACACGGAGAATGATAACTGAAGGAGGATCTACCTTCTGTCTTCCATCACCTCTCCCAAATGCCATTGTATTGTGAACCCATCAAGAATCTAAGCCCTCGGTTAGGACAGGGTCCTCATGACCTAATTCCACTGAAATTCCTTTATGGATACACTCAGAGGTATGCTTTATAAACCCATAGATATTTTGTCGTGAAATGAGGTTTAAAATTAATCACGAAAATCGAGATTAACCGTAGCAGGTTATCTGTAAGATCTTGCTGTTTGAGGGGAGGGGCTTGAGCTGAAGCTATTAGTGTGGGCATTGCTGTCAGATAAATATTTTAATGTCTTACTCTAGAGTTAGGAAAAAGGTTGTTCAGGACCTAACTGTGAGGTATTCCAGAATATAGGGTTCAGGTGGGAGGTGAGGAATCATTAAAGAGATGGAGGAGGACTGAGGAGTCAGGCAAGCATAGTGAACAACCAGGAGAGTCAGGATGAGGGAGGGGTGCGCTGTGCAAAGGCTGCTAATTGGTGAAGGAACACCAAGTTAGTGGAGGGTCCATCAGGTCTGATTATCAGTCATTGATGATTTTGATGAACTGTATACTCTGCTTCTCAAGCAATAAAATCTCAGTTGTGAAAGAAAATGAAAGTCCTACTTTGTCTTTAACCTTACCACAGCTGGACAGTCTGGCTAGAAGTCAGCACACTTCCATCTGTCTGCCCCATGCTTACACTTGCCTCTGAGACTTCACTTTCTCTCCACCAAAAAGACGCTGAGCAGCTCCTGGGAGGTGTGGGCAGAGACCTCTCTAGTCTCTGTAGGTTCTTGAGAGTACCCATTGGTTCCTTTCCTCTGTCCTCTTGGGCAATGGCTGTAGAAGGTGGTTGTTGGTTCTACTCCTGGGTCTGTCAAATCTGTTCATTGTTAGATTGACATAGACCACCTGTACTCAAACACTGAGACAAGTTAGCTTGTCAAATCAAGCATGGGAGATTTTTGAGGTCTCAGGTCCCTGTTGCTCTGCTTCCTGGAATATTATAGTCAAGGGTTCCTGTTACTCTTGTGTCTGAGTGCTTTTCCTCCAGGGGCCTTTGCTGGAGCAACAGGCTATAAGCCTGTCCAAAGTCAGCCTCTGTTTGTCCTGTGCCTTGTCCTTCTGTCTCATGAAGAAGGAGAGAGAAACAGAGAGAGACAGAGGAAGACAGACAGAGAGAGAGGAGAGAAAGAAAGGCAAAACCCATTTTGGTTTCAAGTATGGTTACCATGCTGGATCCTGGCTGCCCTAAGGCAGAGGTACAACAGTGTACTAAGAGCTAGAACTGGCCTGGCCAAGCTTACTCTGGGTGCCAGTCACCCACAAGCACTGTCTTAGAGAAGTTCATCCCTCTGACTCTCAGCTTCTTTGTGGACAGGCTAGATATCAACACCAACACGTACACATCTCAGGACCTCAAGAGTGCACTGGCCAAATTCAAGGAGGGAGCAGAGGTGGAGCATTCGAAGGATGAGCAGGTATGTGATGGTCTTTGTAGTTAGTTTTTGCCGGTTTGGCCTAGAAGCTTTTGTGGTAGGCATGCAATAAGATTGTAAAATAATTTGAAAATGACTTAGGACAAATCACTTTAAAAGAAAGATCCTTCATATGCTATTTTTAAAACTGCTCAGAGCTGAGCGTGGTGGTGCATACCTGTAGTCCAGTACTCAGGAAGGCAAAGGCAGGAGGATCTCTGTGAGTGAGGACAGCCTGGTCTACAAAGTGAGTCCAGGACAGCCAAGGCTACATAGAGAAATCTTGTCTTAAAAAAACAAAAACAAAAATGAACAAACAAAAGCCAAAAAACTGCTCAGAGCATTTATGGGTTTTGTTTTGTTTTGGAATTTTTAGGTTAGGATTAAACCCAAATTTGCTCTTGTTTTCTCTGTTTGTTTTTTAAAATATATGTCTTGGAGAGGTGGCACAAGCCTTTAATCTCAGCACAGCCTTTAGTCTCAGGCAGAGGCAGGAAGATCTCTGAGATTGAGGCCAGTCTGGTCTACAGAGTGAGTTCCAGAACAGTCAGGGCTACACAGAGAGAAAAACAAAAAGTGTGTTGGGGTGGGGTGCTTGTAGAGATAGCTCTGTGGTTAAAAGCAATGTCTGCTCTTGCAGAGGACCTAGGTTCAGTTTTCAATACCCACATGACAGCTAACAACTGTTTGTAACTCTGGTTCCAGGAGATCTGATGCTGTCTTCTGGCCTTTGCAGACAGTGCAGACATGCTTGCAGATAAAACACTCATGCCCATAATAGACCTTATTTTTCTTAAATAAGGAGTAGACAAGAGAGGAAGAAGCCCAAATCTTTGTCTTTTTTTTTTTTTTTTTTTTTTTTTTGTGGTCTCCAGTTTGTTTCCGAAGCATACAGTTAGGGTGGGACAAGAGGGTGACTGAATTTTCCCTAGCCCTAAATCTCCACACAGGCTAATGTGTAAGAGGGAAAAGCAGGAGAATTTGTGCCCCTAACTTCTGGGATGGCTCACTGATACAGCTCTTCCCAGAAAGAAATACTGCTTTGAGGTGGATGGTAAGCTCACATAACACCAGGGAATATCACAAAATACTGCTCTGTATTCTCAGGTGAGTCCTGTGGTCCTGGAAAAACCTTCTTTGACAGCTGCTTTGTAGATTCAGGTCCTCCCTCCCTCTTTTCTTCCTCATAGCCCCTTTTGCCTTTGTCTGCCTCTTGGCCCTTTTCCTTAAATAAGGGGAGAATCTTAAAAGGGTAGCATTAGGTCCTTGGCAGTTTGTTTGTTAGTTCAAAATGGCTTAGGTCCCTCAGATTTAACATTGTTTATTTTGCAGGGCTGTGGGGAGTACACGCTGTGGTGCACTGGTTCGGAGCAATTTATGGGGACTGGTTTTCTCTTTCTAACATGTGGGTCCTAGGAATCCTTTAGACTCTCTAGAAATGTTTCTGAGACTACCAAGAGCTTTTATAGTGGAGCTAGTGCTGACCTACTTAAGATGTGCCAAAGCCAGATGCTATGACACACAACTGTAATCTCAGTGCGCGGGAGACTGAGGCAAAAGATTATGACGTTTGAGTCTTTATGTATATTACCTAACACTTATCCTCAGGACTCAGTGAGGCAGCCAGCTGTTACCCTTTCAATACCTTCTATCAAATCTGATCACAGCCTAATCCAGGATGTGTATTTTATCAAATGTCCAAAAGTCAATATGCTAATCAGTAGAACTCGACCTCGTGGATCTGAAAACACTTCTGCATTCACAAGGCCAACAACCGTCAAGATGGAGATATTAATAAATGAAAAATGAGTTGTCAAGCATGAAGACTACACCTGTATCCCAGCACTCTAGAGGCTAAAGGGGAAGATTATTTGAGTTCTAGGCTCATCAGGACTACGAGTAAATTCCCAGGCCAGCTTGGGCTATATAGAGACTGTCTCAAATAACCAAGCCACCCCAATACAACCCCCCCCAAAAGTGTTCATGTCTTTAGTTATCTTACCAAAGTCACATGTCTGTCATAGAGACAATGCATGTTAGAAGGTAGCGGCAGGACTGCAGAGCTGGCCCAGAGCTGAAAAGTGTTTGTTGTTCTTCAGAGGAGCCTGGTTGGTTTTGTAACTGTACTCCCAAGGGATCCAGTGCCGCCTTCTGATATCTGGAGGCACCAGGCACACATGGGGCACATAGGTAGGTGCAGGAGAGTCACTCATACATGTGAAACAATAAAATATGTAAGTCTAAAAATCAAAAGGAAGGGGCGGGAAAGAGCTGCAGCACATGAAAGAATGGTGCTAGGACTCTCCCTACAGCTGTGCTGGTGGTCGGCTGGACAGGGTGAAGAAAAGCGCGCGTGCCGCCAGTGAGGCGGAGGCCGGGACATGCTCGTGTCTGCTGCTCTGAGGCCAGGGCTTTACAGCCTTCCCACCTGTCACCTTTGCTCTGGGCGTCACGAGGGTCTGTGAGAAGTTAGAAGTTGTTCCAGGTTCCGTGTACTCTGTGGATGAAAACCTACTTAACCTTACTTCTCTCTGTTTTCCTGGGAAAGTATGATTGAAATTTTGTTCTCAGACAATGACATTTTCTCTTCATAATTTAGTTAGTGTAGAAAAGCAAGAATAATTTTTAAAAGGTTTGAAAATGGAAAGGCAAAGATTATTTGTTTTCCATTTCTGTTTAAAAATCCATTTCCCTGTGCAAAGGGATCCACGGAACAGCACAAAAGCATGACCCTAGTACCTGCTGGCCTGAGCCACGCCTTCCTCTTTCCGTGCTCTGCAGTCTGGGCACTCAGGAGGCTGGAGTTGGTTAGGTCGTTAGCTCTGCACTGGGTGCCAGGACCTGGTCTTCTGCTCACGTGGAACCAGTCTGTTCATGCCCTGTCAGCACTGGCTCTGGCACAAGCAGATTGACTTGCAACAGGTTTGTGTGCATTTATTTGTTTGTTTTTTAAACATGTCTCACATTCCTGGCTACAGATCTTTTCACACTTTGGATAACTAATTTTTAAGTCCATCCTATGAGGTAATGCCTTGTATATACAGGGTGATGCCACTAAAAGCAATCCTGTCAGATATTGGCCATATCTCTGTGTTTCTCAGATTTGACATGAAGTTTGCAGGAAGAAGGGTATCAATTTTCTTGAATTGATAGTAACTTGAATCAATTTAGATGAAGTTTCTTGCTTCTCAAAAAAGTTGTTTCAGGGCTGGCCAGATGCGCCAGTGTGTAAAGATGCTTGCCAGTAAGCCTGATGACCTGAGTGCAATCCTGCAAGTGTGTCTTCTAATCTACACACATGCATGCACACATACTTCACATATGCCATAACATACATATATGTACACATACACACATTAAAGAAATAAATATTAAAAAAATTAAATGTGACTTTAAAAAGGTATAACATTCTTTAGCTTTTCACTCTGTGGCAAGCTCATGTTTCCTATTGCACCCACTAAGGATAACTAAAACCCGGGTTATAGCCATAGATGCAATATGGAAATTTCTAAAAGGTGCCACCAAGAAAATGGCAGATTGGACCAGGGATCTTGGAGCTTTAGGAACAACATGACGGTGTCTGTCTTGGGTCTTCTTTTAGCCCTACATATTCTAGCCTGGATACTGGAGAATCTCAGCTGCTGAAATTCCAACAAATTTTAGATAATCTAAAATATTTTTTGTTTCCTAAGACAGGGTCTTAGCACATAGCCTAGAGTGACCTGGAGTGCACTGGGGCCCAAGCTGGACTCAAACATGTGATACTTCTGTCAAAGCCTGCCAAGTACTGGCATGTGCTGCCAAACCTGGCTTAAGTAGTAGATTCTAAAACACTGAAAGAAGCTTTAGCTTTCTAGTTAGAAAAGGAGCGGTCTTAAAACGAGAAAGAAAGAGAGGGGGGAGGGAAGGAGGGAGGGTGAGGGAGAAAGGAAGGAAGGAAGGAAGGAAGAAAGGAAGGAAGGAAGGAAAGAAAGAAAGAAAAAGAAGAAAGAAAGAAAAGAAGGAAATTTTTTAAAAAGCACCTGTCTTACTTCTGTCACAGACCATGGCACTCTGACCAACACCCCATAATATACATTCATTACCAGTAGAAGATGAGTAAGGAAGTCTAGAATTCTAGTTCCTGCTTGGTGGTGGCAGCAACCCTGTGTTCTGATTCCTGTACCAAAGTCAGCAGAAATCACCTGGGAAGCCTGAGCTTGCACCTAATCACAATGGCAGTATGAATCAGGACTCTGCAGTGTTTCTACCCTCTGCCCAGTAGCTCCTCTCTGTGGTCTTTCTTGGCATGCATGCATATGCGCACACACAGACACAACACCATGCACACACACACACTCTCACACCACACATCTACATAACACACACACACACACACACACACACACACACACACACTCTAGGCATAGAGACTGGTTGTGGTGCTGAGGTGGTGTGAGCAGAAATCTGATGGGGAACTTGAATACCACCTCTTACCTGGCAACAGTGAGATGGCTTTTTACTTCCTCTCTGATAAAGTGGTGTCAATAGGGCTGATAGGGAATCTGTCCTTCCATTCCCACCCTAGTGGCAACAGCAAGCTGCCCTCTGTGGTACGGTGAATGGTGTAAGTGAATTTCCCCAAATAAGCACATCAATTGCCCTACAAGGGTGGTATTAGTAGAAGACAATAGGGGGAGCTATTCTTCCATTAGCAAGATCCTGCACCTAGGGGTCAGCCAAGTGTTCTTTATTCTCTCAGCCTGGAGTGAAGGACCAGGATTGGTTTAGACAGAATATATCTGAAAAGTTAAAATTTACCTACAAAGTTCTGGGATAATCCATCATTTATATCCAGAAAACAAACAAACAAACAAAACAAGAACAACAACAACAACAAACTGACCAGCATCCACACAGCAAAAGGTTAAGAAATTGCCATGTGGAAGGTTGCACAGGAAGGAGACAGGCTAGACTAGCACTGAAAACTGAACTTGCTACTTGCTAGAACCAGCCAAAACAAA